CATCACTCACACCACCGGCTTGGCAGGCAAGCCGATAGTCTTCGAGCCAAAGCTCGGGGTTCAAGTCTCTAGAATATTTTAGGAAATTGGTGGGCGGTCGGTACCTCGGGGGGAACGCAGCGTTGAGGATGTGTCGGCCAAAGGCCCGAGGGCCTGGCAGGCTGGGACTCGGGCTCTGGTCCTCGCCACTATCGTAGCGTCCGCCGCGTCGTGGATGATAGCCGCGACTGGCTTCTTCTCTTTCGTCATCGTGAGTGCGCCTACGGGCGTCGATGGTGCTGCGCATGTCACGGCTATGGCCGAGACTTTGATGTACCGGGATAGCCGTGACATGTCTGTTGCCTGGCGGCGTCTGGTGAACGGACGCGTCCTTGGCGGGACGTACCGAGGGCGTGCGCTGGCTGGTGTCAGGTTCACATCATCGAGACAACGAGCTTTCCGCATGCTGCGCCGCCACACGCTCGAGCAACATGCGAATTTCTCGACGGCGCGGCGATCCTCGGACGTCGTGGCCTCCGGAAGGCCGTGCAGCAAGGCTGTTGCTGCGGCGATGTTCTGGCTTGCCCGAGCGAAGTGAGGGAGAGTCCCATCATCGGTGAGGATCCTCCGATGGACATCACGGGCCGAGGTGCGTGCGTGCCCACCGTCTCCGCGACGCTTGATCTCCTCCTCGATGTTTCGGTATTCCCGGACGAGCTGTTGCCCGGCGTCATTGATCTCCAGCTTTCGTGCTTTTAGCTGCTCCATCCTTATGTGAGATGGGGCTGCCGTCTTCGCCTTGATCCTGGCGTTGGGGTTGGCTGTTGGGGTTGTTTCTTCTTCGGAGACGCTTTGGACGTGTCCCTCGGGGGTTTGTGTCATGAAGCATTCCCGGAAAGGGTGACGGCTCCTCTTGCTAGAGTCGGAGTTGGAGGACGACTCTGGTTCCTCCACGAGGAGCCCGTAGAGTGTATCCAGATCGTGTTCGACTACCCCCACGAACTCGCTGTCCGTAGGCGGCTGAACCATGCGTAGTGACAGAAGGTGGCTGGCGGTCGCCGTGGCGTTGCGGATACCGAATGGAAGCGCTGTCGGGGCGCTTCGTACGGGGCCTTCCGGAAATAGGGTGATGCTGCGTGGGAGCTCCCTGGATAACTGGGGTCCAAGGGAGTCACCCTGCGGGCCCTCAAGCCTCAGATGGCTGCGGTTGATGGAAGGGAGAGGCTGTGCGGCCGTGTGGGTCAGCACCAGTTCTCCTCCTAGTGTGACGATGAAATCTAGGTCGCCGAAGCGCACATGTGCGCCTGGGGCCCAGCTGATTGCGTGGGTGGCCATCCGAGGCTTGGTTTGAAACGCACAAGCCCCCTACCTGGCGCGCCAACTGTCGGTGTTTCATACAAGCATCGGCAAGTAAATTTATAGTAATGCACGTTAGGCTCAGATGGTGCGCTAAAGGACACAAGATTTATACTGGTTCGGGCTGAATATCCCTACATCTAGTTTGTTGCTGCTCGTGTTATTAGCACCGTGAATGGTTCGTAGTAGGGGATACAAACGATCGAGAGAGGGACAGGTCCCAAGTCTCTGATGGAAGAGTCGAAAGGAAGCCGAGAGCTTGGTAGTAGCTTGACTATGTGTGTGTGTTGCGTTGTTTTCGGTCCGTCCCTCTAATGGGGAGCCCTGCCCTCCCTTTTACAGACCAAGGGGGGAGCAGGGGTTACAGATGGGAGAAAGAGGAAAACACCAAGGGTATAGAAGGTCCTTCGAAGGATTCGGGTCCTCCTTTTTCCCAGCGCCTACCCTGTATAACATGGCAGACAATGTCAGAAGTGTTGTGCTCGCTCATCGTCGTAGGCCATGCCCTGGCCTCTTGTAGCAAGTGGGTGCGTCCCATCCCGCCCCTACGGGCGGCGTGTCGGACAGGGTTGCTGAACCCCGACCCTGTAGGGAGCGGATGTCGCAGTGACTGCTTGTTCTGCCATTGTAGAGGACGGGAGTCTCTCCTTGGAGCGTAGTGGTTGTCGTATGTCCGTATCGGGTTATTCGCCTGGTGGGTTGAAGGCGGTGCCTACAACACTGTAGGGTGAAGAGTACGCGCCTGCAACACTATTCAGGCTCTATTACGCCTAGAAGGGTCTAAGCACCCGTCCTGTCATGTCCTGACGGTACTTTCCTGTAGGGGCGCAGGACATGGTCTTCTGGTGCTATGGTTGACCCGAACGTCTTATCTTACCCTATGCCTATCATCATGAGGGAGCGGGGTGCGGTTTGTTAGGCGAGGCAGAGCCAATCCTTGGACATCGGGCGGGACGAGGTCCATCAGGCGAGACGGAACCTAGCCTTTGGGGGTCGGGCAAGACGGAGTCCAACCCTCGGGGGTCGGGCGAGACGGAGCCTAGCCCTCGGGGGTCGGATGAAGTGGAGTCTAGCCCTCGGCCCTTGGGCGAGGCGGAGCCGTCCCCCAGCCATCGGAGGAGGCAGAGTCTAGCCCTCGCGGGCCTCGGGCGAGGCGGAGTCTAACCCTCAGCCCTCGGGCGAGGCGGAGCCGTTCCCCAGCCGTCGGGGGAGGCGGAGCCGACCGACGGGCCTTGGGAGAGGCGGAGTCTAGCCCTTAGCCCTCGGGCGAGGCGGAGCCGTCTCCCAGCCGTCGGGGAAGGCGGAGTCGGCCGACGGGCCTCTGGCTGATGGGCATCGGGTGAGGCGGAACCAAAACTCCCGTCGTTCGGGCAAGAAGCGCAACGGTGCTTTTGTCCGTTCGGAAGTTTTTAATGTTCAATGGTTATTTAGTTCCATCTCCTTGGGTACCCCGGTATTAGGTTCCCGACAGGACCCTTCGATCATGATCCAATCCTTTACATTCTCGCACATGTTAGAATCAGCACCCTCCTATAACTGAGCATACGAATACAGAGAGAGCTACTTCAAATTGGACGTAGGGTACCACGTGCCTAAAGTAGTATAATCACTATATCTTCAGCCTGTTCACTTGTTTGTTTCAGACAGGGCTTATTAGTCAGCCAACAGTGATTTTTCTCTCACAACAAATCAGCACCAGCCGGACTTATTAGCCCAGAAACTAACCAACGAATAGGTTGCTTGTGTGCTACCAATTTGATTTCTTTATTGCTAGAGTAAAATCTTTCGACAGGCGACGACCTTCTCGTTACTACAATGCTAGCAAAGGTTGACTTCTAACAGCTTGTTCGTTTGCTCGTATACGATTATGGATTATAAATTGAAATAATATTTTTTTCTTATACTAAACCAGATAAAATAATCCATGATCGTTTATAACCAAACGAACATGCTGCTAGTTTGTTGAGACTTGGCCAGCCTCACGAGAATGTTGGTTTACCATGAGACCCAGTAGTTTCATTTAATATCGCATTACGCAACCAGGCGTTTGTTAGTGTCCTCGATCAGAAGATGTGATAAGGGCATCCATGGTTTCGGTTTGCATTCGGTTTGAGGATGAACGTTCCGAGAAGTGGACTCCAGCTGCTAGCGTAATATTGCACGCTTGTAGCGAATGCCTCGCGAATGGTGCCCACGTGGCTAGCACACATTGAGCTCCACCAGTGCCTCCCCTGCTACCGTGTTGGTGTAGGTCAACCTCGAACTCGCCGATGCCCTCGCCCATGCCACCTGTAGCCTGCATCAGGTATGGAGAGGAGATGAGGCAAGGTGAGATATACAAGGAGTGGGGAGACGAAGTACATGAGGGCATGACGAGCTCGACGGGTGTTAAGGCATCGAGGCTAAGGAGGACAACGTGTGAGCCGAGGAAGGACGAATATGAAATGGAGATTAACACCGTAGAGGTGGGACAAGCTCACCCCTAGATTTTGAAGAGAAGGATATGCCCCGGGTTTATGAGAAATGCCTCCTAGGAGGATGATCTGTCCTTACAATCCCTAAACCAAATAACAATACAAATGGGATCATCCCTGTCCGATCTCACTTTATCCCCAAAATAAGCGTTATATAGACTCGGTTGTATGACCGTCAACAGAGATAAACCCAACATAGGTGCGTTGTACTTGTCGCGCACAGTGCTCCTCGGCTCCTCCTAAAAGTGTTGTTGCTCTCCGCTAAAAGCATGAAACAAAACAGTCTGCAACGAGCTAAGTAGCTAAGGACATGTTTAGTTACTCCAAAACTCCTGAAAAATACACTATATAAAAAAAAGATTCTCCGTCACATCAAATTTACGGTACATACATGAAGTACTAAATGTGGACAAAATCAAAAACTAATTGTACAGTTTAGTTGTACTTTACGAGACGAACATTTTGAATCTAATTAGTCAACGGTTGGATAGTTATTATTAAATACAAACGAAATGCTACAGTATCGCTGCAGGAATTTTGCCACTCCAATGTCGCTGCAGGAATTTTCGGCCTGTTCGGAAGGCCGTATCGTATCGTGGATTATTTATTATTGGCTAGTTTAGTGTGAGAGAAAAACACTATTTTTAACTAAAAATTTACAATCGTTTACGAGCAAGCGAACAAACCTTTTGCCACTCCAATGTCTGGGAACTAAACGTGGCCTAACTACGCTCATGATCCTGTGTGCTACGATTTTAAACGGCTCTAGCTCTTCGCTACGGTATGCCAAAATAGGTGAAGCAAAAAATAGCTCCTAGACTTCTAGTTCATTTTTATTATCTTGGTATCGGTTTAGTTCTCAAAATTTTACAAAAATTTTCAAAAATTTTCGTCACATCGAATCTTGAACGCGTGCATGAAACATTAAATATAAATAAAAAATAAAATTAATTATACAGTTTAAACAAAATTCACGAGATGAATCTTTTAAACCTAATTAAATTATGATTAGACACTAATTGACAAATAACAACGAAAATATTATATGTTATAGTAACCTTTAAAAAAAAGTTCACCAGCTAAACAAGGCCACGAGAGGATAGAAATAGAACGGCTTCTTCACTCAGCGCACACGGAGCCACGGAGGAGCCAGGAGCCACCCGAAAGCCTAGTACGACCACAAGAGTCCAATCAATACAGAGCGTGCTCGTTCAAGGCAAAAAGGCAGCACACGGCCACGCACGCAGGGCTGAGCAGGCATAACAGGGAACCAGTCGTCGTAAGCACACCTCTTCCCGGAGCTCTGCTCGCCGAGCTAGTACGCGCCGACGACGACGGGGTGTCACCGTCGCCGCTGCCTCGGCAGGCGCCGATGCCGACCCCGACGCCCCGCCGGACGCTCCGGTCGTCCAGGCACAGCCCGTAGTTGCCGCTCAGGTCGAGGTTCCCGCCGAGCCGGCGCAGGAACGCGCCGTCGAACGGCACGGCCCCGCCAAGCGCGTTGTTGCTCAGGTTCAGGTGGTACATCCTGCCCAACCGGCTGAGCGCCGCGGGGATCGGCCCCGTCAGGTTATTGTCCTGCAGCGAAAGCGTCGTCAGGCTCGCCAACTGGCCGAACGCCTCCGGTATCGGGCCCGAGTAGCCGGAGCCGGCCAGCCGGAGTTCTTGCAGGCGGGAGAGGCTGCCGAGCTCGGAAGGCAGCGGGACGCCGATTGGGTTGTTGTCCATGATCAGGTACTGCAGGTTTCGCAGCGCGGAGATGCCTGGAGGGAAATGGCCAGTCAGGCGATTGTTGCTGAGCGCCAAGAAGGTGAGCGAGGTCAGGTTGGCGACGGTGTCCGGGATGCCGCCGGTGAGGTTGTTGGAGCTGAGGTCGAGCTTCTGCAGCTGCCGCAGCTCGCCGATCCGGCTCGGGATGGCGCCAGACAGCGAGTTGTAGCTCAGGTCCAAACCGACCAAGCTCTTGAGCTGGCCAATCTGGGTCGGCACCGGCCCGGAGAGCGAGTTGTAGCTAAGGTCGAGGCGCACCAGCGAGGTGAGGTCCCCGATGCCCAGCGGGATCTCGCCGCGGACCAGGCCGTTCTGGGAGATGGTGAGCACCTGGAGGGCCCGGAGGCTGGCCAGCGCCGGCGGCATCGTGCCGGACAGCGCCGGGTTCGCCCTGATGCTAAGCTGCTGCAGGCCGGAGGCCGCCGAGAGGTTGGCGGGCGCCGGCAGCGTGAGCATCGTGGCGGCGGCCGGGTTGGTGAAGCAGTCGACGAAGAAGAGGGACTGGAGGTGTGGCAGGAAGAACACCTCGGGAGGGAAGGACGCCGTGTCCTTGCACGTCGGGTTGGGCTCCACGCCGAAGTCCAGCCGCGTGACGTGCATGCGCGCCGCCGCGGCGGCGCCCGCGTCGGCGGCCGGCTTGCACTCGAGCCCCTGCCACGGCGCGCCGCAGGGGTCGGGGCTCTCGACGCGCCAGTCCCGGTCGGAGGACACGGCCTCCATGACACGGAACAGCGTCTCCCTCTCTGCTGGATCCATTGCCGCCGCCGCCGCTGCCGCTGCGTCGGCGGCCACGGGGAGCAGGGACAGTAGCAGGGCAATGAACGCTGGCACCATGGTGTTCGCGCTCGCTCGCGCGTGCGGCTCTGGGGTCTGGGCCTTTGAGGACTGGGGAGTCTCGCCAGGAAGCCTTGCACTTGTGCAGCAATAAAACAGGGGGCTCGTGACTCGCGTGAACGACTCGATTGACGCGACGACGACAGAGAAAGCGCGCGAGGTGGTACAAGCAGAACAGGGGCACAGGGTCCCGTCCAGGCAAGGGCTCGCGTTGCGTTAGGGTCGCCGGTAATTCCACAAACGGAGGTCAGAGGCAGTCGAGGCCATGTTCGCTTTTCTTACTTTTTTTTTTAAGTTGAAACAGTGGTTTTCTCTCGAGATAAATCTGTCGGAACAGTATTTTGATCTAAGAGTGTTTAGTTGTTCCTCCTAAATTTTAGTCGCTGTCCCATCGGATATTTAGACACACGTCATAGAGTATTAAATATAGATTAATTATGAAATTAATTACATAGTTTGCGACTAATTTGTGAGACGAATCTTTTGAGCCTAATTAGTCCATGATTTGACAATGGTTTTGCTACAGTAACATTGCTAATGTCAGAATAATTAGGCTTAAAAAATCGTCTCGTAGAGTACGACAGATTATGTAATTTATTTTTTTATTATTATCCAAACATCACGTACAATATCTTCTCAACGTACCTTTCCAAACACTTTTTTTTTCGGCCAAGCGAACAGGCCATCTTGCCAATTGATAACTTGCCTCCGCTCTGGCTCTGTATGCAGTGCTAGTAGGGGCCATTCAAAAGAAACCGCACGCTAGTTTGACTGGTCAGGCACTCAGGCGCTATCTACGTTCCTGACATGAGTTATCTGCTAGGACCTGCTCCAACACTGTCACTGAGATCGCTGGATGGGTTAATAAGTGCAAAAGAGGGGGCCCGTTGCCTGAGCTCCATAATTTCACGACCGAAGGCCTTGTTTAGATAAGTTTTTTCACTCTTTCTCTATTACATTAAATATTTGGACACATGCATAAAGTATTAAATGTAGATAAAAAAATAACTAATTACACAGTTTGATTGTAAATTACGAGACAAATTTTTTGAGCCTAGTTAGGTCATGATTGGACAATAATGATCAAATATAAACGAAAATGTTACAGTGACAAATACTGATTCCTAACCTCAATCTAAACAAGGCCCAAGTGTAACCTGCAATGCCTGCATTGCAACATGTCACCTCTGCAACATGGCTCACTATCTCCTTCCTCCATTCAAAATGAATATAATTCTAGTTCTATACAAGTTAAACCATTTTAAATTTGATTTATACAAAATCAAAATATTACTAATATTATTATTGAAACGCTACTTACGGAACGTCCGTTCATTCGGACGGACCCTCCACTCGTCCCCGCCCATGTCGCCTGCTTGCTCTGCTCGCAGGACGGCACCCGCGCCGCCCATCCTCGCGCCCTCGCCGCCCGCCCACGCCTTGCTCCTAGACTCGCGCCTCCCATCGCGGCTGCGCTCCATTCGCCTGCTCTTGCCCCTGCCGAGGTCCGTGCCGCCGCCGAGCTCGACACTGGCGACCTCCGCGCCACTCTGCGACTTCGAGCTCCGTGCCGGCGTCCAACTCCGCATCGACGAGCCTCTATTCGTCCAAGCAGCAGTCACAATAATATGTTTCAAGTGTTTCAGAGGTATGTTGCAAGTGTTGTATATCCATGTTGCGAAAGTAGATCGGGATGCCGAACATGTTGTAATGGCTATACACGTATGTTTTAAATGTATGTTCCAAATGCTTCATCTGTTATAGACGAATGTTGCAAGTGTTTTGTCTGGATGTTACAAAAGTAGATCTGGATGTTGCATATACATGCATGTTGCAAGCATATGTTTCAAGTATTTTCAGGTGTTTTATACGTATGTTTGCAAGTGTTTCATCTGGATGTTGCATATGTTTTGCAATGGTTTTCAAATGTTTTTAGGCGTTTTTGCAAGTGTTTCAGACGCTTGTTTTAAGTGTTTCATTTATCATATTTTGTAGGGGAAATTGGCTGGCGGACACCCACAGTGGTGGTCGTTTGCTGGCGGACACCCAAAGTGGAGCTGTATGCTAGAAGACACTCTGGTTTGTTGTAATTATGCCAGAGGACGCCGCGGGCCGGTTTCCACCGGTTGAGGAGAGAGAAATTCAGTTTGGACATCCGGTGCCCCTGAGCCACGTTTGGGTCTGGTTGGACCAGCTAATAACCAACCCGAGCCTGGTCTGGTTAACCGGCCCGTCCCGCCTGTTAGGGTTTTAGCGGCCATCACTTTCCCCAATCCCACTCCCGCCGCCACCCACTCCACTCCGGTGCCCGCCGCGACGCCGTCCACTCCACTCCGGTGCCCGCCGCTGACACCTCTAGCCTCGGCCGTCATCCACCATGGGGGGCTGAGGATCTGCAGCACCCCCGCGACCTGAAGATGAAGTCCCCCAATAGGAAGAACACGTAGTGCACTAGTTGTCCGCCTAGGGTGCCTAATTTGAAATGGATTCCAAAAGGGTGAGATTTCTTGAACCCATACTCTTCCGATTTGTATAACTGCGGATGCGTTAGAAAGTTTGCGGTTTGAAATCGTTTAGTTTGGATGTAGTCTTTTTTTTGAATTAGGATGGATCCGACGTCCGCCTGTAGATTGACAATTAGAGTACCTGCCTATGTAGAGCAAAGACCAGATGGGCTCGATGATTATCATGTAACTGCTAACTTCATGCGTGTGGTGGACAAGGATATCTTCAATTGGATGGGTTTTATGATTGCTTTGCTGAGGACATAGTTCATGGTAAAGATCAAGCACTGGAGGTTATTTTCTTTGATAAAACCAAGGATGAGACAGTGCTTATAGATTCTGATTCTGCTCTGCTACATGCATTTGATGTGTATTGGGACAGTAGAAGGGTGCCACTGACTGTAGAGGTTGTTGACACTGGTCCTCGTTTATTACAGTCTCAAGTTTGTAATGCCAATGCATCTAGTGATACTCAGTCTGTTGTTAGCACAGAACAGAGTTAGGTCATTTGTTTGCCATTAGCTATGATTCTGCCTGATGAAAATCCAGTAGCTGTTCATACTGCTGAAGCTGTTCATAATCTAGAAGCTGTTGATAATTCAGAAGCTCTTGATAATCCAGAAGGTGATGATAATCCTAAGGTTCATGATAATCTTGAGGTTGATACCAATCCTAAGGTTGATGGCAATCCTGAGGTTGATGCTAATGCTGAGGTTGATGATAATCCTAAAGGTGATGATAACGTTGAGATTGATGATAATCCTGAAGGTGATGATAATGTTGAGGTTGATGATGACTGGGGAGAGTCTAATGAAGTTGAGTATGTAGGAGTAGATGATGAGAAAGAGAAGTACAAGGTTGTGCTCATTGATGATGCTGAGGACAGTGATTATTATCCTAACACTGACCCAGAAGATGATGACCCACTATGTGTGGATGATGAGAGGGGCTGTGAGGGTGTGGTGCATGTGACTGACATAGATAACCCTAAGATAGCTGTTGGTGTTACTTTTGAAGATGGTTTATGTTTTAAGAGGTGTATTAGACAATATGCTGTGCTTAATGAAGTTGAACTTGCAGTTCCTTATAGTGAGTCACGGTGGTATAGAGCACATTGTAAGGCTATTGGTTCATGAAGATGCTACACAAGGCAATTGGTTTCCCACCTGGTCTTGTTATTTCAACTGATGCAGGCAAAGGAATAGATAAGGCAGTTACCAAAGTCTTCACAAATGGTGTAAAGCATAGAGAATGCATGAGGCATCTTGTGAAGAATTTCTAGAAGAGATTTAGGGGTGAAGTGTTTGAAAAAAACTTGTGGCCTGCATCAAGGTGCTACAGGCAAACAACCCATGATAGACACCGGAATGAGATGCTTAAGACATGCCCAAAGGCAACAACCTGGCTGATGGACAATCACAAACAGCTATGGGCAAGGTCAAAGTTCAGCACAACAAGCAAATGTGACTATGTCACCAACAACATAGCTGAGACCTTCAACAGTTGGATCAGGGAAGAGAAGTCCTTACCTGTTCTAGATCTCATGGACAAGATAAGGCAATTGATCATAGAGAGGTTTTGCATAAGGAGGCAGCTGGCCTCAAAGTTGTCTGGTTTAAGGTTTTACCTCATGTCATGAAGGAACTGCACAACAAAAGTAGAAATCTAAAGTACACCATTCACAAGAGTGGCCCAATGGTTGGAGAAGTAGGAGTGAATAAGGACCTAGTCCCATGGAGGTTCATTATTGATCTAGAAAAGAAAGAATGCACTTGTAGAGGTTGGCAATTAACTAGTTTGCCTTGTGTGCATGCCATAGCTTACATTGGCACAAGAAGAGTAGAATTGAAGGACTTTGTGGACCCTTACTACTCTGTAGAAATGTTCAAAGCAGCTTATGCAGTTGTTGTGGCTCCTATGCCAGGCAAGGAAGAATGGGAAAAGGTGGACATTGGCTTCACTCTTCTTCCTCCTAAATGCAATAGAGCAGCAGGAAGGCCAAGGAAAAGAAGGCTGGTTGGTGCTGAGGAAGATGGGTCAAGCAGCAGGGGGAAGAGAAGGTGTAAAAGGTGTGGTGGATTTGGCCACCTCTAGAAAACCTGCAATGAAACTGTCCTAGACTCTGATGCATCACTACCTGCACCACCAAAGAAGAGGAAGACTTATAAGCCAAAAGTGGTTGAGATTATAGAGACCACAGATGACCCATCTAAGAAGAAGGGGAAGAGAAAGGCCTCCTCCAAGGGGAAACAACCCAAGAAGAAGAAGGCAACTCCTGCTTAGCCTACACCTCCTGAACAAGCTACACAGTACGTGATCCATCTCTTGCCTTTATTTCAGTTAGTTTACTACATCTTAACCACATGTTTCATCTTGTAGGGTTCCAAACTCCCCAGTCACTAGGACCCAGGCCAAACACCAAGCGGCAGATAGCCCAAGGCCCCTGACTAGGAGTCAGGCTTCCTCACAGCTACCAGGCAGTCCAAGCGCTTGCACTAGGAGCAAGAGGGCCCTGAAGGACTTGTAGGCACTGCAAGCAACACAGAAAGAGAAGAAAGATTATGTGCTTTTCTATGCTTTTGTGGCTTCTGTGGCTTCCGGAAGGGTATTGTAGTTGGTATTGTATTGAACTGCGTATTGTAGTGAACTGGGTATTGTAGTGAACTTGGTATTGTATTGCACTAAACTTGGTATTGTATTCTAGTCAACTTAGTATGGTTGCTGTGCCACCTACCTTTTAATGGTAATTTTGCTTGCTGTATTCAAGTTGGTAATGATGAAAATGTATTAAACTTAGCAACAAAGCTCAGAACTCCTACAAAGCACATGGCAACATTCACAAACATTACAAAGCAAAGTAAAGTTCATGCATTGTTCATCCACATGGCAACAAAGCAAAGTAAAGTTCATGCATTGTTCAGTCAGATAACTGCATTCCATTCATTTCACAAACATTACAAAGCAAAGTTCATGCATTGTTCTTCCACATGGCAACAAAGCACATGGCAACAAAGCTCAAAACTCCTACAAATACACTGGCCACATTCATCCACCTATTCACTCTCTGCTCTCCATCTATTCTACTCATAGCAGCCCTCTGACCAGAAACAACATTGGTCAGGTTCAATAGAGACTTCTCCAAAGCCTTCAAGCTTGACATCACTGCCGCAGCATCCACACCATCTCCTGCGCTCGGTGGCTTCCACATGAAGAAACCGCACTGGCTGTTGCCCTATTCACGCTGAAGAACGCAAGATTGGGATGAGCCCTAGATCAGGATTTCAAAAGGCCAAAATGGACCACAAAGAAATGAAATGAAAATAACTCACCCAGTCCCGATTCCTGCAAGTATAGAACTGCTTGTCTGGGTCGTTTTGGGTTCTCGACGTCCGCTCCACAACAGTCGCCGTCCTGTAGAAAGGGCACAGTGGCTGCGCCTCTCTCACTCCACGTGAACCTGTCGAGGACGAAGCGCCCGAGCCTGTCGCCATCTTGCACCGGCCTCTGCTTGCCCTTTCCTGTCGACGACGCCTGCTCGCCGCCGCCGCGCCCGCCCGCAGTCGCTGCCGCCACCGCCGCTTCCTTTGTCGTGGAGACGGGGGAGACTGAGATAGATAGAGACGAGCCGGTTAACCAGACCAGGCTCGGGTCGGTTATTAGCTGGTCCAACCAGACCAAAACATGGCTCAGGGGCACCGGATGTCCAAACTGATTCTCTCTCTCTCCTGAATTGGTGGAAATCAGCCCGCGGTGTCCTCTGGCATAATTACAACAAACCAGAGTGTCTTCTAGTATATAGCTCCACTTTGGGTATCCGCCAGCAAACGACCATCACTGTGGGTATCCGCCAGCCAATTTCCCCTATTTTGTATGTTGTAACTGTTGCATCTAGATGTTTCAAAAGTAGACCATGTGTGGTACATGGGATATGCGTGGGAAGCGACCAATAGCGTGGGTGGCGTCCGGGGCGGTGTAGGCCCATTGCTGGTGCGTTCCCTCACGAGCCTGACACTAAGCGCTCGTTCTCTTCCTATACGAGCAGCGTCCAGATTGCTAGCGCCCAAATAGAACATCGGGTGCTAGCAAGTCCATATTTATTAATACCAAAAATTCATTAGATTCGTCACGGAGGCACTATCTATGGGCTCGATAGGCCTATTTCCCTTTCGTTTACCAGCAGTTATAAAACATCGCTGCAGGAAGCAGTCTACATAGCATTAACGGAATATCAGAATTCATTAACAGATAGCTGAATAGAGTAGACTATCATATAAACAACCACCATTTCTCCTAAGACTTTGTTTGAATATAATCAGATTCTTATAAATTCACATATGTTAGAGTTGATTGGACCTTGAACTAAATTCCATTATAATCACCTAACACATGTGGATTGAGGTGAATTTGACGGTATCCCAACAGAACTCATCAATTTCCTCGCTGGTACCGAGAAGAACCACTTGGAACACACCTCCATGGGCAAAACAAATACTGTACACGACTACACGTAGAGCAAAGGGTAAGAGAAATCCGAACACTGATGAAAAAGACTCTCCAAATGGATGGCACACGACATGGGACCAGTGAGCAGTAAGGATTCAGGTGGGAACTGATGCCGGCATGCGGCTCGGAGTCTCACGCCGCGGCAGTGGCACGACGCGCACCCGAACGGCGGCACGAGCCATGTGCCCATGGTAAGACTGTCTCCGACGAGGAGACCCAGATTCATTTTTGTGTCCCGCATAGTTCTCTCTCCCCAGAAACATCCTCCAACAGCAGATCCATACACCCAACGCATTTTGCCTGCTCCCTAAACGCTAGACAAAAAAGCGTCCCCTCTCTCTCGCTACGCAAATCGCCGAGCTCATCAGTGCAGAAGCAGAGCTCGCCCGCGCCGTGGCCGAGGCGAAGCTCGCCCGCGCCGGTGTTGGAGGAGGAGCGCGCGGCAAGGCGGGGAGCAGGGCGTGGCCATCGGGGAGCGGGGATTCGGGGTCCTCCGCGCCGGGGCGGAGCTCACCCGCGACCAGACGAGGTGCATGGACGCGACGATGACGGCTCCGCAGCCGAGGCCGAAGAGGAGGCCGGAGACGACGACGAGGATGTCCTTGGCGCGGTCCTGGACGGACGAGGCAGCGACCTCCGACGGATTTAGGGCTTTTGCGTTTGCGGTCTGTTGGAGAGGATCACTTTTGGGTGGTGACTTTTTTTTTACTGTACAAGACCCAAATCGAGATATAGGTGTTATATTTGGGTCTTATGCTTGGAGTCATTCTAATAATAGACGAATCATGCAACTCCTCAAAGACCCCAATTCCCAAGTTCCCAAATCCCAACCAAGGTGTGGCCTGTGGCCTGTGGGTCGGGCCTACACATCCCAGCCGATGTGACAAAAGCTGTCTGACTCAGGCATTGGTGGTACCGAAGGCAATGGTGTTGGGTGCAGCAGCCAGCAAGTAGCAGACTGAGATGACCGATCAACACTGGATTCTCTACAAAAGCAAGCACCATGTGATGCTTGGCAGAACGATGGAGAGGTGCCTGCAACCGCGTCACCTCGCGACGCACCATGTCCCATCAAATGTCTTCAAACAAAGGAAGGAAACCACTGTTTAGGAGATTGTAGCGTTAGAGTACTACAGTGAACACAGCTTACCGGACAAGCACCAGCTGGTACAGGGCCAGCTTGGTTCTTTGCTCAGCTCTGTGTCGCCTCGCTGAGTCATGATACAGTACAGAGCGGGAAGCACCCACTGGTGAGTGGCAACCTGGCGTTGCTAAACGCAAGTGAGCCGAGTTGGGGCTCATTCGGGCTGGTAATGCAAAGCTACCAAGCATGTCCTGCTCCTGCATGCCCTCAACAAAGGATCTCAAAAAGGTTGTTTAGATTAAGCCCAGAAGCCGCTTTGAGAGCTCTATGAAACAGATCCTAATTAACAACTGCCTTAAACACTAAGTTAACAGCACAATTAGAAAACTCCTCAATGTACATGAAGGAAAGACAGTTTTGCATTTTCACAGTAGACAAGACTGGAACCTAGAGAAAGTTAGGACGGCCCAAATGTGAATCTATGATTACATTTCAGATGGGCAAAATATAGCAGCTACTACAAGAATAAAATTCGAGTAGTGGAGGCAGAGCTAAGTCAAAAGGAGAAATTAAGATCTCCAATTCACGAGCAGCTGCTGCGTTAGAAGAGCCAATATGGCACCAATGGAGATATTCAGTACATTGACAATATCGTTATTCAGCTGCATAGAACAATATTCACCATTAGTCTCAAGAGGGAAAAAAAATCCATGAAGTATACAAGCCTAAGCGTGGTACTGGTACACTAAGAAAAAGAAACAGTGAGGCTCAATATAAATGGTCTTCCTGCAACAAAATAAATTCATCCCAAAGAAAACCTCAAGTGATGTCACGGATTCAAGTTGATCATTGAGACCTAAGCTTCCAGGTAGCCGCCAAGAGATACCAAAAACAATATTGACAAATTCCAATGCACTAATGTATATATGATGCATCCTATAATTAGTTTACATGCCTAAAAACAGACGTCATGTGTGGTAGCAGCTAATTTATTCTCTAACTCTCAATAAGATGCAGGCATGCACCGATGTCACTAAACATACCAAAGCTATATAAATACTTAGCAAATAAAACGATATAATGTCCTTTGCATTATGCCAATATCAATATTGGGTTTATACCAAAATGATCTGGTTATATACTTGGTTGCATTAAGCCACATGCTGAGAATGTCCCTCAGCTCTTTATGCTGAAATTGATCTAGGAGGTCATGAAGTAAATAAGATGGTTGTCCATAGGGTAGCCGATGTATTTATGGAACGGACACACAAATGATGATGGCCCTATTAATACACCACTGGTGCTCCAACAATACTTCATGTAAGCCAATTTGGTGATGCAAAGTTACACACAACATGACAGTTAGCAGTTAGCACCCAAAAAAAAAACATGCCGAGTGAAGAAATGGATTAACTGGGAAAAGTTCAAACAAGCTTTGTAGATGAAGCATCAGAAATTAGTCAGGTAAAAGTGCAAACTCACCCATTCAAAACCTTCCTTGTCTTGTAAAGTCGCCCCAATATAGCTCTCAACATAATTTGCAATCTGAGAGGCAAGAACGCATACCGCAACTTGTGATACATCCACCTGCAGCATAACACATGATTCTTTCCTCAGTAATCATGTACTCCCTCCTTTCTTCTTGGTGTATTAGGAATTGAGAACGTCAATCTTCGCAAAATTCCGACAGGGCGTACCCAGTGCAGAGAGCTCCCGCTCTGTGCGGGGTCTAGGGAAGGGTGTCAGTGGCAAGCTTTACCCTTGCCTGTGCAATGCGAGGAGACCGTGACTCGAACCCGAGACCTTCCGGTCACAGGCGGTAAGACTCTACCGCTTGCACCAGGCCACAATTAGTCAAATTATATGCATGTCTACTATTTACAAAACTTACACCAAGAGATACATTTTTCAGGGATCTTGAATACAAAATCGATTTTGTGGCCATTGATGATTTTTTGTAAGATAAACTAATGGTCAAATATACTTCTCAAGAATTTTTCAAATCCTAATGTGCCCTACAAAAAGAGGAGGGACAACCAATTTTACAGCAGTGTAAGAAGTATAAAATTCACAGTCACTGTAGCTTCCATATAGAAATTGCAATTTCTAGATTGACTATCATACTATAGAAACACTGGTATACTAAAGACAAGATCGAGGACGCGTCTGATGGTGCTGAATTTCAAACAAAAAATATGTACCTGCCCAAGAAGATAACCAACACCTGCAAGAAACACAGCCGCTAGAATTCCAGAAATAGTACCCTCAATACTGATTGCACCTTCTGTACCTCTAGGAACAATCTTTAATGTTGTCACCAGGTAACTATTCTACAGAAGAACCAAGATTTGAGCATTCAGTATTGAGAACCTATTATAACTCCATATTGACTTGCATTCTACAAAAGAATGGAAGTCTACATGATGAAATCTTATGAAGGCTTCATAATGATGTGTTACGAAAACTAAACTTACGTTGTTCTTCCAAAAGCCTTCCCTATTTCACTTGAAACTGTATCACTTAGTTTAGTACAGAAACTAGCAACAAAGCCCAGTCTCCAGAGCTCAGAGGACGCTGTACCACCAGCATGATATATTGATAGTAGGGCACAAACACAACCGGCAGCGCTAGAACCAATAACACTTCCAGGTCCTCTTCTTCCACCTCTTTTCTCTGCTACTCCCAGAGCTTCCTTCTGTCTTATCCTCAACTTAGTAACCACTGTGCCCTGCATATCAAATGCTAAATAAACAACTTGGCTGATAGCCTAAAAGGATTAAAATGATAGATAACACATCAGAAAAGGAAAATTAGCTGGCTTTGTTGGCTACAGCAAGCAACCAAAATCATGAAATATGCTAGTATGGTGTGAAAAAAATCATAGACTGCACAGATGATCAAAAGAATAAAATGCATGAACAGGCCTCAAACTTGTCCGATAGTGTCACCGAAGTCCCTAAACTATTAAAATGTAGATCCGCCCTGAACGGCTAAACTTTTTAAATCTGTCGTTCAAAGGACCAAACCTCCCTAGTTGAAATGTACCTGCCTGTATTGGCATGCTGGCAGTGCACAAACGTGCAAGGTTCCTCTCTCTGTTCCTGTTCCCAATGCTGCTGACAATGTTGGAGCGTGCCGACAAATCAGAAAGCGGGGGGGATCAGGCCAATCACTAATCAACATGCGCATAATTATTGTTTCCATATGTAAAAAGGAGCCACATATCATGGGTGTTATATCTTGAAGAAAGTAGAATCGCATAATAGGACAGCAATAGAATAGACAGCCTATATATAGATAGAGTTGCATTTCCATATATTAATCTCCCACTACTCACTACATGAGTGCACTGGTGAGGAGGCACAAGGCAGGGAGCAGCATGAGCTGAAGCTAGGTACTCAGTTGCTAGTGTCGCATGCGCGGTGTGGCCATTATCCTACGAGAAGATGGACAATAGGCACACTGAAGAATAGTGAAGCTGATGCCTGTTATGCTTATTATTGGAGTGTGCTAGACACGTTATAATTAAGTGTACTGGTGCAAGCGTTTAAAGTCCACAGCAATAAAGTTTCATAATGCGCACCCAGTGCAGAGAGCTCCCGTTCTGTGCAGGGTCTAGGGAAGAGTGTTAGTGGCAAGCCTTACACTCGCCTGTGCAATGCGAGGAGACCGCGACTCAAACCGGGACCTTCCGGTCATAGGCGGTAAGACTCTACCGCTTAAAGTCCACAGCAATAAAGTTTCATAATGCAATCAGCATATAAGAAATATAGCAGTGTTGCAAAAAAAAAAAACACTCAACTGAAGCCAAAACAACTGGGAAAATAAATGAATGGGCAGAGCAGTGTGATTTGGACTTGAGAGTTCATGTAGCAAGTAGCATGCATATGTGGTATGTGCGCTGTGGGAGTGCAGGTATAGGCGTGCATGCAGCCATGCACAAGAGTTTGATCCTTCGGAAATTACTCCAAGGGCCGGGGGGGGTACAGCCCATGATGGCGCCAATGAGCAGCATGTGGCTCGTGCTGATCAGGTGGGTCTCTGGGATGTTGAGGTGTGGAAGCTGAAACTAGCGCCCCCAAGTCACCAAGGGTGGTACGAGCAGCCTGGGCATAGAAGTTGCCCCATGGCCCCAGCTGATTCAGCACACAGAGGGAGGGAGGGAGAGATAGATAGAGAGGGTCAAAGGTGGAGGGTGGTGTTGTGTACAACAAGGCTGAAGGATTGTTGCGCAGTGAGATGAGATGTATCAGAGCCATTGCACAGTGGAAGGCACACGGAGCACAGTATGTAGTACCAGGTCGAAGGATTGTTGCGCACACAAGTGGTTTCCAACTCTCAAGGAGGTATTGTTGATGGCAGCCATAGAAGCCACAAGGAGCTCAGTTAAACCCCAATTTGCCATCCAACTTATTCTCGATTAAGCTCCATCTTCAAATCTTCTCCAAAACTTAGGTGTACGTTCCACGCCACCCCACCGGTGAGACTTGCTTGCCGGACATCTCCAACCTCCCTGTCGCATGGGAAACAATAAAATGGTTGCCCTGGCCAATGATTCAGCAGCAGTCCATGGCTTGAGGGCAAGCAAGATGAAACAAAGGTAGGGCAGAGGAAGGTTGGGTTATGGGCTGATGAGAAGATACATAGGACGAGTTACCCATAGATCTGGCAGGCTGGAGGAGGAAGAGAAGCATAGTCAGCAACTCAGCATGGCCACATGTCAGTGTCACCTTGATGCCACATCAGTTGATACATTTGGATAAAGGAGATTTGGACACTGAGCGTTTTAAGAGTTGGCCTAGATGACACCGCGTGACAAGTTTAAGGACCACCGATGCACTTTAACTAATTATCAAATTATAATGAGGTTGCTAAGTATGAGAAATCAAGAGCAAATACATCCATATCCAAACAAAACTTGTTCACCTCAACCCAGAAAACCAAGAGGAAAAGCCTCCACTCCTCTGGCCTCTAATTGGGCACATCACAACTATATTATGTCATTAGCATTGCAAATAGTACAATAGAGCTACAATAGAACTATATTTTTTTAAGCAAACTGTACACACAGATTTCAGTACGCCCTCGTAGCTAGGTTCAATCTAGCACTTAGAAACTACAAACATGAACAGGACCCATCTGCGACAACTAATAAGCTGCTGTAGAATGACAGTAACATCGACCTCACTAGTCCATACCGGGTAATGAGAACCGATCGGATTGACTCACCACAACGAAATAGGCGACAACGAGGAGGAAACCCGGGGCCCCGAACGCGCGCCACGTCAGGGTGCCCAGGAGATAGGCGGCGGCGAAACCGGAGGCGGAGAGGCCCGAGAGGAGCACCGGCGATCCGGCGACAAAGACGGCGAGGTTGCTGGCTGCGGCGGACCGCCACGTCGGCGGCGACGTCAAGAAGGCGTCGGCGAGCGCGTCCCGAATGCCCGCCACGGCCCCCGCAGCAACATCCGGGAGCGCGCGAGGCGGGGACGGGGGGCGGTGGCGCGGAACCCTAGGCCCTCGACGGAACAGAGGGAGGGTTCTGGGCGCGGGGAGGTAGGAGAGGATACGAGGCGACGAGGAGAGGGGGGCGTGGAGCGGGAGTGGAAGTGAGCACGCCATTGGAGACTAGAGAAGGGTGATGAACTGTCAACTGATGCTTGTGATGTCTGAACTCGGGAAGCAGACAAGTAGGGGACTCTCCCCCCTTTCGTTTTTTTTAAGGAATTCCTTTTTTTAAGCCCCGTGAACCCTTCCCTTTTCGCCCCGTGAGCCCATTGCGATGCAAGCCCATCTTTGGTAGCCCGATTTAGCCCATGACTCCATGAGAACGCACGCGTTAAGCCACCCCTTAACCCTACCGCTGTGCCCGGAACACAGCCGCCGCCCGCCGCCTCCAACCAGCAAGGCAGCAACCATGGGGGATTTGTTGCTTCTTGCCGCCTCCAGCACAGCCGCGAACCGCCGCCGGCTCCTCGTCTCTCCTCCCGGTCTTCGGGCGTGCCTTGGTTCATTAGTCCATTTCCTTGTAGCCCCGAATCTACGTGTTTTGTTTTTTCTGCTGCCAAGTGATGCTGGGAGTATTGCGCAAGGGCTTTGAGCAATTCGTGGCTTTTGTTTGCCTGATGCGATGAGATCACAACAGATGTACTATCCCTTCTGATGGCAGCAGTTTTCGGCTCTGGATCTGCATACTTTTGCACTCTCTCTCTCTCTCTTCCAAAAGAGAGGAAACTTCATTTGTTTTGTGGGTTTGTGAGGTGTTGTGCAAGAAAGCATTTATTCACAACCCTTTTCATTGCCAAGTGATGCTGGGATTATTGCGCAAGGGCTATGAGCAGTTCATGGGCACTTGGTGGCCCAATCCGCGGTGATATGAATACATGACATCCCGTCTGATGGCAATTTAGTTATGATTAAGAAATCAACTACTCCTAGGTACATAACCGCTGTTCTAAGTACGCTTTGCCTGTTGGCTGTTGCTTGATTTTATGCTAGATAACATTAGCAGCTTCACAAATTAGCTTTTGCAATTTTGTTTTAAAATGTTATTCTCATGTCAGTAACATTCAAGCATAATGCCAAACTCTCTTAAGTATTCACAGCTTGTTCAGATAAGCAGATGGCGTCGGTAGCGTTTGGGAGATGGGCTGAATCCAAGAAGCTCATGAAGCTTTGGACTATTCTTTTTCTAGCAATCTATGTTTCTCGAGAAATTCATGAACTTCTGGACACAATCTGGATAACATAGTTAACATTCTTTTACAGGAGTTAGTATTGTACAGATAGTTAACATTCGTTTGGCAATGTTCGGTGATCTAACATGGAAACACACCATCACAACTGCTCTTTCTTGTTTTCTTCCCGTGGTAGAGGGTGCTAGAGTGACATCGTAGTAGCCCTTCCTTAAACCTTCTATGCAGAGTGCTCTTCTTTACACCAATAGCATTAGCTAGAGATCGTATAGTGCTCCTCCTATGCAAGGGGACACTAAGGATATCTGATAGGTCTATTTGTATCTTTTTGCGGCCACAATTTTTCCTCCTTGATCTAACATCCACAGGTCTTCCTTGTGCACGACACTGCTTCACTCTCCGCCAAACATTTCGTACTTGATATTTACTGACCTGGAACATTTGAGCTACTATATTCGTGGCATTCCTTTTTAATCTTCCACGATTACTTCTCTCAAGCAATGCTGCATATATTTCTTGCCTTTCAACTTCTGTCAAATTTCTAGACTGATGTGCAGTATTTTCATTTGCATGTTCATCTTCTTCAACATCGGAGTCCTCCAACTCCTCTTCGTCAAAGGTTATGTCCACAACATCAGTGTACACACCATAGTCATGCATATCCTCGATCGTGTCTTAAAAAAAAAACCCAGGTAAGGCAGCAATACAAAGATGTTGTTAAGACTCTTGGCAAAAAAAAAAAAATCCATGCTTACTGGATATGCAGCTATGGATGATAGGTTTCACTAAAAATTAATCTGGTTTGCAAAACATTGTGTGAAGTATTTGACAGCTATGTTTCGGAAGGAACGTAGAAATAAGCTAAACACAACAACTCAAGTCATTTAGGAAAACTCTCTGAACCTAGTTTAGTCAATGTACTCATTGAAAAATTAAGTAAAAAGGGTTGCTGATTTGAGGCTTACTGATCATTTGTTGCATCTCTTGTTGGTGATCTGAGGCTTCTAGTTTGAGGTCAAATGCACTGTAATCATGTGGACCATCAAAGTTGATATCTTCATCTTGTTGGTGATCTGAAGCCTCTAAGTTGAGTTCAAATACACCATAGTCATGTGGACCATCAAAGTTGATATCTCCATCTTGTTGGTGATTTGAAGCTTCTAAGTTGAGGTCAAATACATCATGTTCATGTGGACCATCAAAGTTGATATCTCCATGTTGATGGTCTTCCTCAACAGCAAGGACTGCAATAAGGTGGGACAAGGATAGGTAATTGAATGTTCAAACTTGTGTTTTCAAGTCATTTACTTGTTGTAACAATGTAATTAAGAGAAACATTACCTGCATCAGGTTCTTGTTGTCCCTCACAAGCAGCAACATTGAGATCTATGCCATGCACAGCTCTGTGTTCCCCTTCATCGAGATAGTGGGCTTGACCTTCTTGGAGTCGATGGACTTCAATTTCTTTGAGATGAACCTGATCTTCCTGAAGATGATGGATTTCATTTTCATCTCCCTGCTCATCAGGAGGTTCTTCATTCAGGTCAGGTAAGAGCTGTCCACTTGCTTCATCTGCTACTTTGTTTATATCTATGGCCATGGTTGAAGAGGGAATGGATTGTAGGCTGAGGAAGATGGAGTGGATTGCATGTCAGTTTGGAGCAAGTGGATGCCTCACGAGCATGTGAAGTCTTTTGTAGTGGGGCAATGGCGCGGAGTTAGGATTTGAATCTCCTGGCGCAACTGGCGCCCGAGATGTCCTGGAAGTTTCTGCACTGGTCTTTGATGACCCTTTGTTTATTGGCTTGTGTTTATTCTTGGCCACACATTTGTTGTGCAACTGTGCTGTGCTGCCACGTGCTCCTCTGATATGAAGTTTCTGGCCAGACTTGTGCTGGTCCAGGGCAACTGTGCTGAAGAGACTTTCGTTTGTATTTGGTGAAAAAATATCAATTATGATTTATTTGCTCCTCTGATATGAATCTACATTTTCTGGCAAGATTGAATTGAGAACTGTGCAAAAAATTTTGGTTTTTGGGGACATCTAAACGGGGTTTATTTTATTACCGTAAACCATTTACTGCGTGAACGGAAGTGATGGCATTCGCAAGAAAAAAAGAAGTGATGGCATGCCCTCAAATAGGGGTATTATGGTAATTTCGTAGCTATACTAAATGTGCTCCCTTAAACCTACACGTGCGCTTAGGGTCTATTTGATGCACTAGGCCTGTCTAGATCCTAGGCTAACCTAGGGGAGAGATAGGAGAGAGAATAGAAGACAGAGGTGACTTTTTTTGAAACGTTAATAATTAGTTGGGTGCTTTAGATAAACTTTAATCAATCCATTAGACCTCCTATTTGAATCCTCAAGAATTAAACTTTAGCAACTACTTCGTATGTTCCTTTTTATCTGTTACTATAAAATATGTATTAGAAAAAAAACTTCAACTAAATTTATAAAATATATTAGCAACATTTATATCTTTAAATTAATTTATTAAAAAAATATGTTCAACGATTTATCTAATCTAATAATACTAATTATATACTATAAATATTAATATTATTATAACAAAGGACGAAGAGAGTTGAGCCTTACTTTCTAAGGTTATGGAATAGGTACATGTGGTATGTCTGGGGTCTTTGCAATGTGTTCGAGTTTAGTCGAGGACGTGTTTATTTCTTATTGGAATCAGATAATTGAAAAAATCCCACCAAATGTTTAATATGAATGCTTTTTACCGCACCGGGCATCGGCTGTGTTTAGTTGTAAGAATTTGGATTTTGGGATTATTGTAGCACGTTCGTTTTTATTTGGTAAATATTGTTGAAACATGGACTAATTAGGTTCAAAACGTTCGTCTCGTAATTTTTCACCAAACTGTGCAATTAGTTTTTCTTTTCGTCTACATTTAATGCTCCATGCACAGGCCGCAAACATTCGATGTGACAGGTACTATAGCAAATTTTTAAAAGTTGAGATGGAATTAAACAAGGGCATAGTAGGAATAAACTACCGCTTGTGTTTTCGTGTCGCGGTTTGTAGGCTACGTTCAGCCAGTCACATAACCGCACCGTGTGCGTAGCACTGGGGTTCCAAATAAGCCCCGAATGAAACAAGTGGCTAAGTTTTTTAGTTACGGTAGACATATGCGTCGCATGCGCACTAGGGTTCCAAATAAGCCCTGAGTAAAACAATAAGTTTGTTTTAGTTAGAACTGACACATGCAAGTCGTGCACACAACATTGGGGTTCTAAATAAGCCCCAAATGAAACAAGTGGGTAAACTTATTTTAGTTACATCGGACACATACGGTTACAATGGACATATGTGTAAACTCCTTACGTCATATAATATTTGATGTTTTAGATTTGAACATGAGAATATTTGAAGTTTAAGATTTAGACACAGAAATTTATGAAAAGTGAAAAGATATTGTGCATAGAGAACAAGGAGATAGAAGGAAATAGAGATAGAGGTGTCTTAAGAAGAGAGAAAGGTGTATTAGAAAAAAAAGTGAAATACACCGTCCGCCCTTTAACTTGTCGTCCTGTACTAATCCGGTTCCACGAACTTGTAAACGCGGAAAATAGACCATGAACTTGTCAAGTTATTCACCGCAGGTCCATTTCCCATCCCCGCGCGGCCTCCAGGCGACGTGGCAGTGCCAGCGTGGCGAACGAAGCACGTGAGCCGTACGTTTCAATGGGCCTGCCACGCTTGCTTTGCCGGCGATCTGTGATCGGCTTGCTCCTTTTCACCGCCGACGCCGACCGTTTCGCCGCCCTCTCGCGTCTTGATCGCGCATGTTGCTTTGAGTGGCGTTCGCAAGCAGGAGCTGGAGTACCTGGAAGCTGCGTCCCCGCCGTTAAAGCGCGAAGCCACCGGCCGTCTCCCTCTTTCTCCTTCCTCTGCTCACCGCCGAGCTCCTCAGTTCGCCGACCAATTCATTGCCACCAAACCATCATCGTCTAATTCCTCTTGCTAGTCGAATCGCCTGCTCCTTGCGCACCCATCCGGACCCGCTCGCGCCGCCCTCGCTGCTAGAATTGGCCCGCGCACGCTGTTCCCGTAGCGGCGGCTCACCATAGCCACCGTGGACAGCTCCACCGTGGCCAGCCTCCTCCAGAACTCCTCTCGCCTCACCGTTGGTTGTTTTAGCTCCTCTTTGACGCCTCCATCTTGCTTGCCGCAGGCGTCTTCGCGCGCGCTCGCTCTCTGGCACCGCTCTCGCTGCTGCGCTCGCTTGCCGAGCCGCGCGCGCGCATGCGCGCCGCGCCGCCGAAGCCGCCGTGTCGCCACCACGGGTGCTTCGCCCGACGCAGGCGCCGCCGAAACTGCTTTGCCAGCGCGCTTCGCCGCGACGCCAGCTGGGTTGCGCCCGGCAGCTCCACCGTGCGCTCCTCCTGACCTGGCGCTTCGCCGCTGGGCGTTCGCGCGCTTCGCGTGCTGCTTGCCGCGTGCGCTTGCGAGCTCGCCGCCGCCAGTGCCGCGCGCCGCCGCTTCCGCATGCGCGCTGTGTCGCTCTCCGCAGCAACCGGCCTTCGCCGCTAAGCGGCCGCTCTTCTGCGCGTGGCGCTGCGCGTGCCGTCGCCCGCCGCCGCCGCCGCCGCCTTCGCCGCCGATGCCGCCACGCTCGTGCCCAGCGACAGAGGACGCCGGAGAAGGTGCTCGCCGGCGGCGAGGGAGAGGTGCTGGGGCATCTCCATGCCCTGACGCACCCATGGAAGGAAGAATCAAGGCCGTGAAGCGGTCCGTGGTCTGCCAAAGCCACGTCGCGACATGTGTTGCCGGCTTTGAAGACGAGCGGCTCGCTCGGCGACGAGCGATTCGAGCGACGGAGGAAGTCCTGGAAAGGGATCGACGCGTACTGCAGGTGACGGAGAGGGCGCTGACGTTCTTTTCTTGGGTCGCGAAGGGGTGGAGCGGTAGGACGCAGCGGTGGCAGAGCTTTTGCTTGCGGTCATGGTAGACGGTTGTGGTCATGGCGAGACCTAATGATGAAAAGGACAAACGGAGAGTCGATTAGCATGGAGGCATCAAAGAGGAGCTAAAACAACCAATGGTGAGGCGAGAGGAGTTCTAGAGGAGGTTGGCCACGGTGGAGCTGTCCACGATGGCTATGGCGAGCCGCCGCTGCAGGAACAGCGCGCGCGGGCCAATTCCGGCAGCGAGCGGGTCGGATGGGTGCGCAAGGAGCAGGCGATTCGACTAGCAAGAGGAATTAGACGATGATGGTTTGGTGGCGACGAATTGGCCGGCGAACTGAGGAGCTCGGCGGTGAGCAGAGGAAGGAGAAAGAGGGAGACAATCGGTGGCTTCGCGCTTTAACGGCGGGGACACGGCTTCCTGTGTACTCAGCTCACCGCTGCCATAACGCCACCGAAGCGACTACACAAACAAGACGGGCTTCGGCGCTAAAAGTCGGTCGGCCGTCGGCGGTGAGCAAGCTGATTGCGTACTGCCGGCAAGCGAGCGTGGCAGGCCCATTGAAACGTGCGGCTCACGTGTTTCGTCCGCCACGCTGGCACTGCCACGTCGCCTAGAGGCCGCGCCGGATGGGAAATGGACCTGTGGTGAATAACTTGACAAGTTCAGGGTTCTATTTTCAGCGTTTGCAAGTTTGTGGACCGGATTGGCACAGGCCGATAAGTTAAAGGATCGCCAGTGTATTTCACTAAAAAAAGTATATTAGTAAGTGAGATAGACTATTTTAGGCTATCTTGTGTCCAGTGCCCCAGACGTATTAGCCCAGTTTTGCACCCCTCGAGTAATAAATGAGCAAAACTTTAGTCCATCATATTTGCTCACTTTTTGCCCATATGTTTGGATCCCTATGCAAAAAAAAAGGACTAAAAGTGTGTAGAACTAAAGTTTTGCCGTAGAATCTACGAATTGAATGATGGCTGCCTCCACCGATGCGTACTTCTCGCGTCGTCTCTTGTGAGCTGTGGGCTGGTGGCAAACTTGCAATCAACAAAAAGCTCTGCTTGGCCATCTGATGATCTGGAAGGATTCGTTGCATGCGAGATGCCACGTTCTTCATCTTCGCGGCACGTGTCGGACGGCTGGCTCATGAGCCGCGAGCCCGACATGATAAAAACCACGCTCCTTCACTCAGGCCCCGTCACGCACCACGCAGTGTCTCGTGCGATCTGAAGTTAGTTGGGGACGAAGCAAAAATGTCCTCTAGTGATCAAAATCCAGCCGCCACACCCGCGTCGGGCGGCCCCGCCGAGCCGGCTCCGCCGGGCAGGCCAACAACGGTGTCCTCGCAGGTCCTCGACGTGGGCGCGCAGCTGGTGCAGGCGCTGAAGCCGGTGCGGCAGATGAAGCAGCACGCGTGCAGCTTCGCGCTGTACGCCTACGACTTGCACCGCCAGATGGAGGTCCACCACTTCGTCTCCCGGCTCAACCAGGACGTCCTCCAGTGCGCCGTCTACGACTCCGACAAGCCCTCGGCCCGCCTCATCGGTACGCGCCGACGCCGTCTCTTCTCCGCCGCGCCTGCACGCCGCGCCGTTACAAAGATTACAGTTGTGATGATGGCAGGCGTGGAGTACATCGTCTCGGACACCATCTTCGAGGGCCTGCCGCCCGACGAGCAGAGGCTGTGGCACTCGCACGCGTACGAGGTGAAGGCCGGGCTGTGGACCGACGTCGGCGTGCCGGAGTCCCTGCAGAGCTCGGAGATGGCGAGCCTCGCGAAGACGTACAGCAAGTTCTGGTGCACCTGGCAGGTGGACCGCGGCGACGCGCTGCCCCTCGGCGCGCCGGCGCTCATGGTGTCGCCGCATGCCGCCGAGCCCGGCCGCGCGCGCGGCGAGCTGGTGCGCGGCCGTGACGAGAGGTACAGGATCGACAGCTCGGCGGGGGGGCTCAAGGCGGCCAGGGTGGAGATGGACGAGCCGGAGTGGATCAACCCGAACGCCGACTATTGGCGGTTGCACCGCAAGGGGTTCGCGGTAGACGTCGTCCAGGCCGAGATGAAGCGCCACGCGCCCTTCCCGTGAGCTGAGCTGCCGGGTTTCGTTGTGACACGTTCGTGAGGAGTAAAAGATCGATGTTGTAGCCCGGGGCGTATTCTGAAAAAAAAAAAGAAGATCAGAAACCGGTTGTTTCTGGCCTGCCCAACAACCGGTTGTTGGGAAGCACCTTTTGGTACATCAAACAACCGGATTTCTCAACCTCACATCAAAATCTGATGGTCCAAATAAAATAACACAAATATTGTCGGTGTTTTCAGTTGCCACCAACAAATAAATTTCTAATATTACGCGTGTCTGGTCCGGATAGTGTGCTAAGAGGATACGAGGTTTATACTGATTCGGACAGAATGTCTCTACGTCCAGTTTATTCCTGCTGCTCGTGTTACTAGTACTGAAAGTTCGTAGTAGGGGTTACAAACGGGTGAGAGAGGGACATGTCCCAAGTCTCTGATGGAAAGGGTGAACAGTGCCGAGAGCTTGGTCGCTGCTCGGTTGTATGTTCGGGGCTCGATGGGTTGATCGGATTCGAGTCTCCTGTAGTGTGTTGTGATGAGTTCCGATCGATGCTATGTGTTGCGATTGTTAGTCCGATGCTTTGCAATCCCCCTAATGGGACGCCTACTTTCTCTTTTATAGGCCAAGAGAAAGCAGAAGTTACAGCGTTGAAAAAGAGGAGAATGAGAAGAAGTCGGAGTCCCCCAGGATCATCGGGTCCTTCCTTTCCTTCACGCGGGTCCCGCCGACCCTGTAGACGTTAACAGGGACAGCTCCACGTCGCGGTCCTGTCGTCATTGGCGCCATGCGCAAGCGTCGTCTTCGGTCGTGATGCCCCACTCCGTCCTGGTAGACGTCGTGGTGAACTGATGCGCCTGTCAGTGTTCGTACGATGGTTAGGCAGAACAGCACCCATACGCCCGACGCTGTTCCTGATGTGAATCCATGGCATGTCATGGCCATGGGTTATATCAGGGCATGCCGATCACCTCCCTGGTGTCAGAGCTTTGACCCAGGCCCATTCGCCTGGACCTAGAGTGGTTGGCGGCGGTTCGGGTCTCCGTCGGGCGAGATGGGGCCCCCGGCCTTGGGGTCAGGCGAGGCGGAGTTCCTCTCCAGAGGCCGGGCAAGGCGAAGCGCAAACCCAAGGCTCGGGCGAGGCGGAGCCTGCCCCAGAGGTCGGGCGAGGCGGAGTTCGCCCTCAGGGGTAGGACGAGGCGGAGCCTGGGGCCTCAGTGTCGGACGAGGCGAAGCCCGCCCCCAGAGGTTGATCGAGGCGGGGTCCGCCCTCGGGGTTGGACGAGGCGAAGCCCGCGGCCTTGGTGTCGGGCGAGGTGGAGCCCACCCCCTGAGGTCGGGCGAGGCGGAGTCCGCCCTTAGGGGTCGGGCGAGGCAGAGCCCACGGCCTCGGTGTCGGGCGAGGCGGAGCCCGCCCCCACAGGTCGGGGGAGGCGGAGCCACCCTCAGGGGTCGGTTGGAGCTGTAGTCGCGCTCTTGACTGCTCGGACGAATCAATGTTGATGGTTATTAGCTCCTCTTCGGGTACCCTAGTATTGGTACCCGACAGTAGCCCCCGAGCTTGCGGAGGAGTAGAATACTCCTCTAGAGGCTTTTCTGAACGGGAGGATTCTAAAGGCCTTGGCATTCTTTTGTCGCCCAAAGTGTGACCTGTGGACAGTGATTCCTTTTTCTCGAGCCCCCTCCCGTAGCAGGGCCTGGTCGAGGATCGGTTCATCTTTACAATTGTCTTCCCTCAAGCGTTTTTTCCGATAAAAACGGAGGGGCCGAGCTGTGCCATGATTTTCCTCTAAGGACGAATCATGGCATCCGGTGAACTATTTAATGGGTTAGTCTGAGTGGGGTCCTTGGCATCCCGTTCACGGGGATCCGGCTTGGGTTAGCTTGGCGACTAACCCCAGATTTTCAGCGGTCAATCCATATAGTTCTCAGGTCCGTTCGACCGGTCCCTAGGGCTAAGTACCTTTCTTCGAAGAAAAACCATGGATCGTAACCGGCCGAGACTCGATCGTGGGCCGGGATGCCCACGACGCTCATGTGCCCGGGTACTGGCCGCTAAAGGGCCCATCCCTTTCTACCCTCTCACCCTAGAGGTGCCTGGAGCTGTTGTCGAGCCCAGGCAGGCCATAGAGACGCTTTTAGATTCGTATTCTTCTTACTCGTGATGAATCGTGGCCCGTCCGGAGAGGCAAAACGTCTGGTGAGTTTTCTGAGGGAACGGATAGAGATTGTGGATGCACGTCCCGCGGCGGGATGTTGTGGCAGATCATAGCAAGCGCGGAGATCTAGGTAGGCAGTTGGTTTCCGCGCATCCGTCGCCCCTATAAACCCAAAGGGTTCGCCCCCGGGTTCCATACCTTGCATCTTTGCCTCCACCACCACGACCGTCGCCACCAGTCGCCTAGGGTTCCCCGTCTCCGCATCCCTACCATCGTCGAGCCCACATCCAGTCGTCTCCACCTCCAATGGATCTGTGGTGCCATTCTGACATCACCTTCCAGCGCATGGAGGGCCCTATCTATCGTGGTCTTCTTCACACGCGGACCTTGGTCGAGGAGTGGCTGCTGCCCAGCGAGGAGGATATGTCGTTGCCGCCCGATGGCTATGTGGTGTCGTTCGCCCACTTCCCTGAGCGTGGGTTCGCGACCCCCGCCCACAAATTTCTTCGGGGGCTGCTGCATTATTACAAGATCGAGCTACAGCATCTGAACCCGAACAGGATCCAGCACATGGCGGCGTTCGTCGCCCTATGCGAGGGGTTCCTGTGGATCAGCCCCCACTTCGATCTGTGGAGGAAATTCGTCGCTGTCACCCTCCAGAAGAAGAGGGAGAAAAGCGGCAGGCATGAGATGCATATGCCGATGGGGTGCGCCGACATCTAGCTCCGAAACAATTGGGTCGGCGAGTACCCGCCCATGCGGCTCTCGACGTCCAACAAGGGGTGGCACTCGTAGTGGTTCTACCTTAAGAACGCCGCCGCCGCCCCTCTGCTAGAGTTCACCGGGCGCCTAATCGAAGAGGCTCTAGAGTCATGGAGGAAGTGGGGTGTCCCGGAGAAGGACAAGAAGAAGATCCGGGACCACATCGCTGCTATCCACATCCTGAAGGAGAGCGGCTTGAAGGGTCGAGGCGTTTTCAGGGCCTACCACACAAAGAGGGTGGCACCATTGATGATGCGCGTGCTCCCGCTATACGCGATGGTGCCCGAGGCGTCATTTGATGGAACAATGCTTGCTGAGGGAGCACTCCCTCACTCCGAGGTCACGCAACGCATTAAGAAGGCGATGGAGCCTTCGCGGGATGACATGGGCGCCCCTTGATTTCATCTACCCGGTGCTGGGACATCCTCTGATGCAGCCAAAACCAGGCCATGTCGTCTTTGTAAGTTTCCCCTCCTCATACCTCCTCTTCAATTGATTTCTTAACCTCTTGATACTAACCTTAAGAGGGCGAGACCAGCCGAGGGACCTCATCTTCATGGATCACCCGGCTCCATTGCCGAGGGATTTATCCGTGAGGGCGGTGAACCACACCGAGGGCAAGCGGTTGAGGAAGGCAAAGGAGGACAAGAAGAGGAAGAGGTAGCGGAAGCTAAAGGCACGAGAACGGGGGGAGGACACCGACAACGATGACGGTGATGATGGTGGCAACGACAATGAGGTAGCCGATGATGTCGATTGGGACATCCTGGAAAACGAGGATGCGCTGATAGGTATCGGTTCGACCTTACAGGAGTCAGGACCCTTCCTGTTCCACGGAGGGAAAGGGCGCGTCCGGGGAGACGGTGGAGATAGGCCGTACTATCGGCCTGCCCTAGGAGCCAACAGGGGCGGGCTGCTCTACCGCCACCACCGAGGTGCTAGCGGAGGAGGGTGGTTTCGCTGTCGCGCCCCAGGATCCAAGGGGAGTGAGCCCCTCTGCCCAGGAGCAGGGGGCAGGCTCGAAACGGCCTCGCCCCGATGAGGTGGAGCAGAGGTCAGGGGGTTCACCGCCCAAACATATCTGTCGCCTAACGGCGCTGAGGTGAGTCATCAGCTCCTCTATTTTCCCTATTTTGGTCAGATTTCATCGTGACTTATGCTTTTCGTCTCTTGTAGCGTCGGAAGGCAGCATAATCCTTTGGTGCTGGCGTCGCACCCATTTCGGGTGGGGCGGTACTAGTGTGACTACATCGCTGGCTGGTCAGGCGCCACCCATGGTGGTGCCCATGCCCTCGGTAGGATGGGTGGACGCGGGGGCTCAAGGGACGCCTTCGGAGGTCACGGAACAACCGGCGATGGCGGTGATACTGCTACCGACGACGGGGCGGACGGGACTGCCGACCGTGCTCACGACACCGATCGTGGCATGCGCGACATAGCTAGTTAGGTCCCCTCCGACGTAGGCGGAGGTGGCGGTGGCTGTGACAGACGGGTCAGAGCTGAGCGCTATCGTGGCAGTGCCTGAGGAACCGGTGCGACCTGAGCCATCTGCGGCCTAGGTGACGGCGTCTGGCGTGGGCTGGATGGCGGGGGAAAAGGCCGAGTCCTCGGAGGTCGTGGTGTTGGGAGAGGAGTCAGCGTCCGTACCACTGACCCCTTCCATCATCGGAGGGAGTGTCCTGGTGGGGACATCACAGCAAGGAGGGTCGGCGGCGATCAGAGATGACGAGGAGCCATCCTGGTCCTAACGTTGGTGGGCAATGACTCGCCTACGCGAGGCAAGCCCCTGCTCCGGTGGGCGAGTCTGGAGGATCCGACATCGATGCTCTTCACACTCGACGACGCCGCAGAGAGCATGGGGCGGGAGAGCCTCGATGTGGGGATCACATCCGTGCTCGAAGCCCTGGACTACGCCCGAGGTGCCTTGCGTGATGTTGTTGTTCCCTCCGGCCGAGTATTTGCTTGACCCTGCTTCTCGCCCTTTTCTTTCTCTATATATTTTTTGTATTCTGACCATCGTCTCCTTTTAGTCCCTTATCGCTCGCAGCCGGGGGAAGTCTCAGTTCCTTCGTGAGCAGAAGGAAACCTAGG